TCGGCCACCAGGCATCTGCTTCCTGCCCTGGTGGCCCTGCCTGTTCTGGAGCTCGAATAGACAGAGTCATGCCGCGTGTGGCCTTCTGTGTCCTCTGTGTTGCCTGTGACCATCTGGTGGCTCCCGTCTCCTGAGACGCTGTGACAGGCAGCAGCCAGAGGCTCTGAGTTTACTCTGTGCCCCCTGGTAGTAGGAGGAGGTCGGTCTCCGAAACAACCCTTGGGAAAGGGAGTCTCTAATCAGAACGGTCATAGCCCTGTGTTGTTTGCACATACAGATGGAAAGACTGGGCGCCGACAGCAAGGAGGGCAAGGAGGAGACCATGTGTTGAGAGTGACCGCACAACGCGGCTCGATGTGGCAGAACTACTGGGTGGTATTTGGTCTGGATAGTGTCCTGATCAAATGATTCAGAGAAAAAGGCCCATGGGCACTGACGTCAGGGCTGGATTCAAAGGACCCAGGCGGCCTGGTTCAGAAAGGCTGTCACCTCCAAGTGGACCTCTGGACCACTTGCCAACTGGCCCCAAGGTGGTTGGGCAGGTGGCTGACAGAGGTCTCACTGCCCGGAGCTTTCAGGCTGGGAGAATGGGGGAGAGTGATGGTGAGGACCTCTGATTCCCCTCAGGACCCCTGCCGCCACTGACCCTTGTCTCCATCATTGGAGATCTTGCGCAGGTCGATGAAGTGGGTGCCGATGGCCACGTCATTGACCTTGTCCGAGTCCCGGATCTGCACCTTCATGCGTTTGCAGAGTGGGGGGAACAGGTCTGTAAAGACCACCTGCTCATTCCACAGTGGCTCGTAGCTGCTCTTTTGCACGGAAGTCTTGCCCTGGAGGGAGGGGAGTGAAGTTTAGTGTGTGTGTGTGTACACTTGCCTCTTCTATTCCCCTCACCCCACTCCCCGGCCTCTCAGACTCCTCCCTTCTAGTGTCTCCCCACTCAGCGCTTGGTCTCTGGGGTTCCCAGAGACAGGGAGGGTCTCCTCTAAGCCCCACCCATGGCCAGGATCCTTCTGAAGCTGCCCTGACTTTACCCTGCCTGCCCTCTCCCCTCAGCTGGCATTGCATGCCCTTGGCTTCCAGGCTGCTGTATGTCTGTCTGCCCCCAGGCCCCATGCCCATCCCTGCACGCCACCTTCACCCGTCATCCTGAGCCCTAGCCTTCTGCACCCCACAGCTCACTACCTTCTGGCCGGCAAAGAAGACTTGCACATACGGGTCCACGAGGTCCTTGTTGTCGCCGATGAAGGCCTTCTTCACATTGGCCATGAGGCTGGTGTTCATACGGGGCAGGCCCTCAGCGCGGTAGATTTTCACATAGAACCGGGCCCACTGGCGTTCCGGGGGCACCCCTTCGGGGAGCAGCAAGTTCCTGCCGGAACAGAACAGACAGCTTGGGCCATCATGGCCAGGCTCTGACGCCCTCTCATTGCCCCGGGACCCAGATTCTCAGGCCTTGGGAGAATCCGAGAGGGTAGAAACTCAGATGGAAGAAGTTCCGGTTTACAGCACCTACTCTCTGGAGGCATCTGAGGCACGTCTCCCCATCTCCCTGAGCCTCGATTTCCCCACCTTTCGGATGGGAACCAGATTGCCCCTCAGGGCTATGAGAGACCCCAATAGGTGGCAGTGCCTTGTCCATGACAGCGTGGGATGCCAAGCCTAGAATGAATGCCAACTCTTCTCAGCACTGTGGCACTGCCCTTGTCTTCCAGACAGAAACGTAGCGAGTGAGCCCCCGTGTCCCTCCCCGATCATGATTCACTGGGCCCCTGGACTTCTTCCAGCGGAGCCAGACAAGGTCCCCGAGTCTTTCTCGGCAGCCGTGTTCCTTTTCAGGCCAGGAACAGGCGTGCAAACGGAAAGCCCTGCCCCACTGGGGCTGGACTGTGTCCCCTGCAGCTGTTCTTTCTGCCCCTTTCTCACACCCGCAAGGTCGACTATCAAAGAGGTGGGCCTGAGCTGTCCTCCATCACCCCCTCCACCCTGCCTGCCCTCTCTAGCCTGGAAGCAGGTCCTGGCCTCCGCTCATTCTGGAAACATGAGGGCAAGGGCGGGGTGAGGGAGAGGGAAGGGGGGAACTTGGGGCCAGAAGCCAGAAGCATCCGATTTAGGCAGAAGGAAGGCTGGGGTCCGTTCTCAGAGGGTGGAAGGAGCTGGACGCCTCACCCCTCGATGTCATCCTCGTCTGTCTCGGTAGCCTTGTGGGGTGTCTTGATGTTGTCCCCTTTGCCCACCACAGCGATGTCACACTTCACATAGCCCTTGAGCCCGGCAGAGATGTCATCGGGGTCAGACAGGATGGCCCACTTGTGATGGAATTGGTGCTCTGCAGGGACGAGGAGGGAATGTGGGCTGCATCTGGTCCCCACCTATCTGAGGGGCAGGCCAGGGGGCCTGTAGACCTGAACGCCAGCCGGTCAGACCCTAGAGACTCTGGGCCCCAACTCTGTCTCGGGCAGGGTAGGTGTGTGTGGGGTGTGGGGTGCACACGGGGTCCTCTGGAGCCCTGGCAGCCGGGTAATGCCTACTATTGGTATGACTTTGGGGCCATTGTAGCTGCTGGGCCACTAGGCAACCCCGTGCCTGGTGTGGATCAAATGGCTGGCTGTGACCGGCCAAGTTTCCATTGGCTGATAGTGGATGAAGCTAGAAGCCTAATCCGTTCTCTCATCTAGGCCTTCCAGACCCCACCATGGCAGTCAACCTCCTGGCCTCTGCCAGACAACGTTTTTGGAAATAGAAATTGGGTGTTCTGACTCCCCTTTCCAGGCCTCTGGGGGCTCCCCATTGTCTTGGGAGACAGGCTAAGACAGGTTAGCATGGTCTGTGGGGCCTCCTGGTCCCCTCGTGCTGACTCATCCTGCTCATCCCGTCCCTGGTGGGCAAAGCTGCACCTTGCTCTCTAATCTCATGCTGCCGTTTGTTGGGCTTGGGGTGCTCTCATCCTTACTGCCCCCACATCTCCTCCACTCATTTAATCAGTGAACGCCTGCCCAGGCTGCACAAGCCAGCATCTCCTCTTCCAGGCAGCCTCCCCTGACCGCCGTGGACAAGTCGGCCCTGCCCTCTCTGGTGCTCAGTGTGCCACAAACTTGCCTCCTCTCACACTGGGCACGGCCACCCTCTGCTTATCAACTCTCCAATGGCAGATTTTCAGCTTCCAAAAGGAGCTCTGGTGGAACAGGGGTCACACGCTGGGTGGCGAGCTGAAGTCAGCAGTTACGAACCACCAGCTGCTCTTTGGGAACAGGGTGGGATTTCTCCTCCAGCGAACAGTGCCAGTCTCAGAAACTCACAGGGCAGTTCTACCCTGTCCTATAGGGTCCCTATGAGTCAGCGTCGACTCGATGGCAATGGGTGAATGAATGAGTGAGTGAAGCTTCCGAAAGGTAGGGATGGGCAGGGTCGTCTCCACCTCCCGGGATCGAGCGCCGAGTGGAGGAGAGGACAGTGGTCCCGGAAGGAGGCGCTCAGGAAGGGTTTGCCCTTTCTGGTTTATGTTGGACTAGTATAAGAGCAGAGGACGCCCACGGCCTCCTTGGTGAAAGGCCAGCCCAGCTCCTCTTCCTGTGACTTTTGTGTGGCCATTGGCACCCTCAGGGATCCGAACTTCCTTCTTGCCTCTCTCCCCTTTCACCTCCTTCTGTGGTCCTCCCTTCCGAAACTCCACCCCCCAGTGGGTGCTCTGAGGTGAGCGAGGGGCCGTGTGGAATAGTCTGAGGATAAGCCAGTCCAGCCGTGACTCAGGAAGGACCCTGCCATGGGACAGTCTGAAGAGAGGGGCCAGGATGGGGAAAGAGCGGGGAGCTATGTACGGAAGGGAGGTGCCATGGAAGCCTTCAGCTTCAGCAGTCCCGCCTCACCCCACCCCAAGCATCCTCAGGCTTTGGGGCTCTGTCAGGGCACATGCTTGGGGGATGGAGAGAGAGAAAGGGAGGAGGGCAGAGGGACGGGTGATGATTGCTTGGATGGCTGAGTGGTTGAGTGGCTGGGTGAGTGAATGGAAGGGCAGAGTGAAATGTGGACAGATGGGTGAATGGTTATCAGCGTGAGTATGTGGACTGATGGCTGGATGGGTGAATGGTTATCAGCGTGAGTATGTGGACTGATGGCTGGATGGGT